TTTGAGTTATCCACTCTTTCTGATTTGGAGGCAGAACCCTAGGCGCCAAGAATCCACAGCAAACTCCAGCAACGAGTGCATCAATAATCTTCTTGATACCTTCCGATAAATCACAGGTAAGATCAAAAACAACATTCTTGATCTGGGTGTCTTGAAATCTCTGGAACAAAAACACCACTAACCTGCAAGAAGGAAGATAACCATGGTTACTTCCAAAATCTCATGTGATACTTGGTGTTATCATGCTAGAAGGTGATCTCTTATAGACCCATCTTCTTCTTCCTACAAATCAGTCTCAGATGAACAAAAAAACGCCTAGAACAAATTGGCCATGTCATTTTCTTTATGATCAGTAGAGAACTCCTCGGTGGAGATGGAGAAAAGAGAAGGAGAAAGCAGATTGAGGAGGATGATCATATGTTTCTAGAAGATGATGTGAATTTTAGTTTGTTGAATTTGTCGGTTGTCGGCGACTCGAATTCGTCGAAGCTGGAGAACTCCGTAGTGGGTCTTGGAATTTTTTGGATCTTCAATCTGGAAATGAAGCACTTGTAATCGTTGGAGAAGTAGAACCCAGTTGAGTTGGAGAAGCAGAACTCGGTGGAGATGGAGAAAAGAGCAGGAGAAAAGTAAATCTAGGTTTTTTAGAGAGAGAGAGAGAGAGAGAGATGGGGCCCAAATTAATTAACTATTTTCTTTTTCCTTTAAATTAAAATGAAAAAACATAAAAAGTATATCAGTTTTCCGAGGGACCAAAATCACAAGCAAACATGGTCAAAAGAACCACGAAGCCAAAAATGTCGGGGTTTGGACTAAAACCTCAAAAAAAGACATACCACGGAGACCATTTTTGCAGTTTTGTCTTAAGAATATCATACTAAAAGCCCTAATTTTAAAATATAATCATATGAATTGGCAAAGTAATCGATAGCAAAGACTGTATATGTTTAAAAATTATCCATTTGAATGTAAGTAACCTGACTAACCTGTCTCTAACATTAACTTCTTCCAACATTAGCTAATAGGTTTTGAACTACAACAACATGAGAAAAAGAGAGAGATTAGGGAAGATGTGCTAATAATGAGAGACATGGAGAAATCTCAGTGAGGATGAACATAAAATAGGGTTAGAGATTGAAAAGACTAAGAAGAAGAATATGAATTCACCTTGTTATAAAACCAAGACAAAAGCTTATTTGAGCCGACCATTTTGTTTCTTTGCATAAAAAAATCCAAAGGATGAAGAAGAAACGCCAGGATCAACCCTTCAACACCATCGAAAACACTAAACACCAAAAAATCACCACCGCAACACCCATTACTGCCACCAATCGCAACCCTTAAGGTACCATCACTACCAACCACCGAGCACCATCACCTTTTACATGCCGCCTCCTCTATCTGAAAACAGTCGTATACGTCATTTTCTCATATGTGTTATCATTACTTCCAACACCACAAACCACTTGCCACTTTAATACTATTCTTTTACCACCCTTGCTCAAGCCGGATTTCACCATGGAACCAATCGAACCAAGAGAGAAACGAAATAAGGAGAAAGGGGCCCATAATTAGGAATTTCAAAAATGATATTTAGATTTCACTTCTCATAGAGGTTGAAGAAAGAATGGAATTAGGGATGGAGATTTTAAATTGGCAAAATTTAAGGAAATCAATAGAAGAGTTTCCGATTTTGAAGCAATTACAGGGTCATTTTCGGAAAATCACTTTGAGAGAATGGGCAGGAAAAGAAGCTTGGGAAGGGGCTAAGTGATTGTAACGTGGCATATTTGTACTGTTTTATTAGGATAGGGGATAGACAAAATTGTTAAAAAATGACAAAATTGCAAAAATGGTCCCTGTGGTATACATTTTTTCGGGGTTTTGGTCCAAACCCCGACTTGTTTGGCTTTGTGGTCCTTTTGGCCATCTTTGTACGTAGATTTGGTCCCTCGTAAAATTGAAATGACTAAATTGCCCTTATTATATTTATTTTCCATTTTCTTTTTTTATAAGTATTTTTATATATTAAATGAAGATAGTCTCTCTCTCTCTCTCTCTCATATCAGGTTTTAATACCCATAACTCAAAATCGACCACCATCCTCTTCTTCAATCATAGACCTCAATCTATCTTCTCTTCCACCTCATTATTCCGTCACCACCTCATTCATGATTATCTCTCATCAAACCCACCAGCCTACATTCCTAAATCATCCCTCAGCTCCATAAAGAAGGTCGATTCCATGTATAAAGTATGTACAAAGAAGTCGGATCTTTGTATGTTATTCCCAAATCAAAAGTGAAACAAATAGGTTGTGTTTCCTAGAATTGGGTTTTATCACATAGGTTTCAGTATGGTTTTCATCTCGTCATCAATTTCAAGCATCCAATTCTCCTTTTTTACTTGCCTTTTCCAAGCTTATTAGGTCGTAATCAGAGAAAAGAGCAAAATCTGCACATTCATCAAAATTAATCGGTTGTTAAAGTTTTTTTGTGCTCCATTGGTTCGTTCAATTTGATTCCGGGATTATGCAAGATTGAAACAGACAAAGAAGGTGATGGGAGCGATTGGGTTTTTTTCTTTCCCTTTACTGCCTTTGTTCACCCCACGATCGATCGACACTAACAATCGTAACCTCTCTTCTTCTCTGTAATGCTTTGTTCAATTTGACTGAATTCAATTTTCAACTCGACTTTTTACAAAGGTATCGTTTCCACAACAATCTTAACTTCCATTAGCCAAAAAATGTCTCTCGTTCTCGAGGACATTACCATCAGTCATCGAGGGAAAATAACAAGCACGTTATTCTTTTAGGAATTAAGATCCGAGAACAGAACCTTTGCACCAAATCGCTTCTGCAATAGGTTTTCTTGTGGTGATTTGGGACGAGAACGGAAACAAACACAGAGCTCTCACCGTTGAATTAATGGAGAAATCGATTTTCTTGTGTTGATTTGGGGATGAATGGAGATGACAACCCAGAGAGAGAGAGAGAGAGAGAGAGAGAGAGAGAGAGAGAGAGAGAGAGAGAGAGAGAGAGAGAGATGCCCTATAATTTTTATTAATAAAACTTTATATTAAATAGAAAAAAACATAGAAAATGTATCAGAAGGGTATTTTTGTCTTTTTAATTTTACGAGGGACCAAAACCACAAACAAAGTAACTCAAAATGACCGTCAATCCAAAAAAGTCAGGGTTTGGACCAAAACCCCCAAAAAAATGCATACCACAAGGACCATTTTTGCAGTTTTGTCAAAAAAAAAAGTTCGAGTGGTGTGTATATTCTTAGGGAAATGTTCAATCCGTAAAATCAAGGTTATTGAAGAAGCGATTTTGATCGTAGAATTGTACGATTCTACGATTCCACATATGTATTTCGATTCTAATCTAATCAAACTTTTTAAGGTAGAATCATATTAGAATCGTAAAATCGGATTGTTTAATTGTAAAGCCGTAAGCGTTTCGATTCTACCTAGGTTGGTTTTTTTTAACCAGTTTTCCTTCTCGTTTGACTCTAATTAAATAAGTATAATTCTAAAACTCTAAAAGAAAACAACAAACGAAAAGCAACGATTAGTGTAGTTGAAACTCTTAAAGTTTTAAAATTGAATTACTTAAAAGAGATGAATATGGAATATAGTTTCTTGATTTGCTTTTTTTTTTTTTTTTTGAACCGGCGAATATATTACAGAAGGTTGCACTAGCAAGTTGCTAGTGAAGCAAAAGAGTACAAAACGAGGAAATGAAATAAGTTAACAGGGGATCGCCATCTATACCTCATCCGCATGTTAGCGGATAGTTACACCATAAATTCCAATTTAAGGCTCATTTGTTTGTTCTCTGTTTTATCCAAGTGAATAATACCGATTTATTGTTATTCATTATCTTCGTCGATTGACTTCTATGATTTCTGAATACTCTTTCGTTTCTTGCTTTCCATAGACACCAAAGTGTCTCATATTTTATAGCATCAACTACTTTTTTTCTTTTGGGCAGTGTCCCCATCTTCTGTCCCACGCCAAAACATCACGGACTGTTGTACAATCAAGGGTTGAATCCGAGACTCCACACCATTGTGTAATCAGAGTTTCTTGATTTGTAAATAACTAAATATACTCGTCATTTTATTTATTTATTTATTTTTCATTTTAACATGATTGTTCAATTATTTAAGACACAATTAAGACTAAAGTAACGTGAACAAAATAGTCCATTAATTTATTAAAAAAAAATCAATGTCATATTGTATATATAGTGTTTTTGGCATTCTTGTTAGTTTTGATGAAGTATGATGGTTTGGAAAGTGAATAGTAGGCACATAACTGATTTTGGATAATTAACTAAGATTTTTCATTTTTGACATTATTTTCTAGACCGAATTAAAACTAATTAAAACTAGCAAGAACAATAGTTCCTTGGTGGAATCTTACGATTCCGATTCGATTTTACGATCACAATTTTACAAACCTGAAAACGATTCTATGTAGAATCTCGATTTTGCAAACCTTGGTTTAATTTTTTAGATTGATACTTTTTTTAGCAAATTTGTTTATAATTTTAGTTGACTGAAAAGACTAAAATGTCCTTATGTTCTCTCTCTCAAAGTAGGTACAACATATATCATCCCTAACCTCAAATTCCAACGCCAAATGATAACTCAAATTCCAATGCCAAATGATAACTTAAGCTTTTATTTTATGATTGTAGTGTTTATGAATTATGAATACTCACAAGTGACCAAAATTCGTCATTTGAAAAAATTAGTGTCAATTAACCATTGTGCACAACCAACCTCGAAACAAAATACAAAGAAATTAACCCAAACAACCATTTATAAGCAACAACACAACAACATAACAATTCATGCCCACTTTCACCAAAAAAGAAACCAAGTAAAAGTACCATTCAACAAAATCCATACCCAAAACATCTGACTTATTCCCAACACTTCAACAACCTTCAATTCTTCAACTTATTCGCGACGACTTAATCCGCTTCAATTTTTCATATTCGCGACGCTTACATTCTGCAATTCAACTTTAAGTGTTTTTAAGTACTTGACAGCCTCATCAAGTACATCAACAGTACTCATTCTTTTACTATTCGGCACAATTCCTCTCAATGAATCCACCATCTTCTTCATTTCGCGACGCTTTCTGTCGCTAACACCACTCGATTTACAAGAAGCCATCGATAAACCAAGCCCGCTGCCCCTGCCCGAGCCCTTTCCGGGCAGCCTCGAAGAGCAAGAATCCGCAGTGTCAATTTCGTCATTTCCATGCGTTCGGGCAGTACTAACCTCTTCCTCCTCTTCATACCCTTCTTCCCCTTCATCTTCTTCATCTTCAAAACTCATTAATATATCGATATCCGCTGAATCTTCTTTCATAACTGATTCAACTTCTCTAGGGGCATTTTCATCATTCCGCGTTACATGGATGTAACCCGGGGCGGGAACGGGAACCGACGGGTGGTACATTATCTGACTACGGTTATCGGTCCGGTCAAAGATAATGAAATTTCTCGGGCAGATTTTCGAGGGTTGAAAGTCAACATTTTGACCAAAGAATGATGTGAATGGAGGATTGGGAAAAGGGAGTAAGTGGTGTTGGTCGCTTTGCATTTTTACTATTTTTTCGTTTTTTTTTTTTAAATTTAAGAAAAGAATTTTAAAAGCAATGTGGAAAGAGCAAATGATGCTCTTAAGTTATTTCCATTTTTTCGTGAATATTTATAAACGAAATTTAGTAGTTTACTAGTAGCCAAGAGACAAATCTTTTTCACTGTCTTCTAATTAAAAAACAACCAATGAGAAGGTGACACCTGTCTATATCCCGTAAGCTTTAAGGGTAACAGACTACGTAATGGGCTTAAGCAACTGACGAAAGTATTCAGCCTGTAATATAAAAACAACCAATGAGAAGGTGACACCTGTATATATAAACATTACCTCATAGAAATAAAAAATAGCAACTTACTTTCATTAATTTGTTTATTACAACATTTAACTTTCATTAAAAAAAGTGAAATGGAGAAAATGAAAGTAAGTTGAGTTAATTATAATAGACAAATAAATGTAAGTAAGTTGCTTTAATTAAAAAGATATATAAAAAAATATAAAATACTTACCTGACAAACTTGCATCAAATTGTAGTAAGCAATGACCCCAACACTCATTTTAATCTTACCAAATTCCTTTAAAACTCGAATTCTCTTTTGTGCAACACCAATGAACATTCTCAGTCCTCCACCCAGTATTTAATAACAAATAAAAAATTGATCACACCACTAAAAAACCAAAAAACTTTATACCCTGCATCAAAAAATAATAATAACAATCTAGAATTAGAAACAACATATTTTAATTTTTTAACCAATACAAACAATGTACCTAACAAGAAAAAAGATTATAACCACAATGTTATAATCCGGTAGATTTTTCAGATTACAATGGTGTCAAAATGTTATAATAGAAAGAAATGAAAGTAAATGATATATAATACAGAAATAAATGAAACTACATTGCTACATAAATGTAATAAGTTGATATTATAGGTAAAGAAATGTAAGTGTAATATTATTATGAGTTATATAACAAAGAACCATATACCTAAGAAATCTGAGTTTACAGGATAACACGAAAGAACACCACCAATGGCAAACACTTTCCGAAGTAATTAACACCCAAAGCCGTCCAAGGCATCTTGCTTTTCTACTTTAAAATCAAATCATATGATAATCCCCACGCCTAAATCTGAAACGCCATAACCAAAAACTCGATGTTAGTTTCAATTATGAGAATAAGAACACATTATTCGGATTTACAACCACCGAATTCAATCAATATCGGAAAAAAAAAATAGATGTTGCAGGGGAATAGAAAAAGATACAGAACAACTCATGAACTCAATCGGATCAATTATCTTCTATTGATGATTGCGAACAGAAAAAACGATCTAACTAAGATGAGTTCACGAATACACAGTGGTTTCAAGCAAATTTGCCACAGATCTGAAGAATAAAGCGTGTAGATTTAGCGGATAACGGAGAAACGAACAAAAAGCTTCTGACGTATATTATATAATGTATTCAAATTGTATATACAGATCTTCATAGCAACAAACAAACTCAAGGAAAAATACAATTCGATAACAAGCGAGATCCATAAATCAAAACTGTTTCACACGAAATCTAAATAACACGAGAGAACTTGAGCTAAAAAATCAGTACATAGTTACATACCGATATCAAAATTGGCACAAAATCAAAAACGATCGAAGCTTTGTTGACAAAAAGAAGCTCGAAAGATCTTTAATTTCTTATGCAGGTGTATAGAGAAATGGAAAAAAGAGAGATGATAGAGGGGATCTAGAGTGGGTGTGGTTTGATTTTGTGGTGGTTTTTTTTTTGGGGTTTGTTGGAGAGTGTGAAGGAAGGATGAATGTGCGCCGTTGGATTTAATTTGGAGGTGGGAGAAAAGCTTTACGCGTATCGCGGTGGGTGAAAGTCGCCGTTGGATTGGGATATTAAGAGCATGCGTGGGGGACCCACAAAGGGTTTGACAAAATGCAAATTCTGTGGAGTAATCTCTTGGGATATGGTTTTGTTTTGTAAGCATGTACTGGACTAGTACCAGTCCTTTTTTTTGCATACCATGACACGACACTGCTACTATGCCTTGGTAAACTCTTTTTATATGTTTGTGCATGGGTTAAATGATTGTTTATTTATTTAAATAATAATTGTGTTTTATGTAATTGTGGTCTATTTTATAAATAAAATATGTAATGTTTCTAATTGTTGAATTGTTCAAAACATGTTGGTTAATGTATAAAATATAAAATATTGTTATAAATACAAATGTAAGATGCCATTGTTTAAAATATAAATGTATTTGATTAATATTGAAGGAAAACTGAATAAACTAATCAATATAAATTAGTGTTTTAATAATAATGATCTTTTTTTTTATTTGGAAAATGACCACCAAGTTTGTATTACAGCATTTCGAAGTAGCAAAGTTTATTTGGGAGTTGATGGTGGTTGTCGGGATATGACCTTCGAAATTTGACACTCGGACATTTCAGACTAAAATGTGTGTTCCGGATTTCAGTCTTGAATGTATGGTAATTCCAGAGTGCTAAGTATTAGGGTATTTCTATTGCATTGTTGCTCGCTTTTGAGAAAAATCTACTTATCTACATACATATAGTTTTGTGACACTGAAAAAATGAGTTCATATAATCAGTATTTCAGAGTCTATGTTTATAGTGGAAGGCAATGGGAGTGAATCGACAGATTAATGATATATATTGGTCCAGACTACACCTGTTTTGGTGTTGATATAACCACTAATATCAACTTCTCTAAGTTGGTTGATGTTATGGGTGATATTTATATATCCTTATTTTATTAAATCTAACATATTAAATGCGTACTAAAATCTTAAATGGACCAAGATCTTGAGCAAGCCAACATCTTGGGGCTCCGATCGTATTTTTTGTGTTAATGTATGCATGACTAAAGACTTATCTCACAATGCATGGGCTAAGTCAACTTAGCACGTGGTCAATAAGAATAGACGTTGAGTCTTCTCGAAAAACCTGGTCAAACAAGAATAAGGGAAGATCCTGGATTTTTAGGAGAGCTAGTTAGTTAGCAAATGTATAAATAAAGGAGTTGATATCATTCCACGTACATTCACTATGGATAACACACATACATTTGAGCACTCTCATTACCTCTCAGTCATACTACTCACGATCAACTTGTACTTGTAACATTTTTTTTATTTCTAATAAAAGTTCTAAAGGCATAGTAACATTTGTCACCTCTCGAGGATTTATGCCAAAGATCCTAAAGGATTAAGGTCTTTCCTCGTATATTATTGTGTTTTTGTTCTTATATTTATGTTTACACTGATTTTTTCTCAATTTGCATTACTTTTACACGAATTTTTAAGCATATTTATATTTGATTACATCTAAGGCAAACAATATTTCTCTTGGGATACTTTATAGCATCTTGACCTTTTTGAACGTCTTATTGTTCTTTTCGATATTTTCTACATATTTACGAAATTAACATTATTAATTGTCCAACTTTACAAACATAGATCTTAGGTTTTGAAGCTCTTTATCTTGAAATCTAAATAACAATGGTTTACTTTTTTTTTTTGTACTAATTTCAAGATCTTCGGCTAACTCAAGATCATCGGTGTCGTCTAAAATCTTAAGCACAAGATAAATCTTCTTTTTAAAATCTTTATCTAAAACATCACACCACACTTACTAATTTGGTTACAAAATTACTTAAATCGATTTTTGACCAAAACAATTTGGCGTCATCCGTGGGACGAGAAGTGTTATTACCTTTTTCTTACAAAGCTAAACCATACTCAAGACTTGAGAATCATAGGGTTAATGCTCTGGAATATGAAGAGGAAGATGAGGATTATCCTAAGATATTTGATTAAATGTTTCTATGCCAATGTTTCAGGTCTACTTTACACAATGCAGGATCTTGGGGACAAGGCATGATGGCCTAGGAAAAATGACAAGGCTTCTGGATGGAAAGATAAATCAAAATAATGTGCTTATCACGAAGATTTTAGGCACCTTACCGAAGATTTATTTTCTCTCAGAAAATATATTAGCTACTTGCTAAGTAAAGGTCACCTACAGGAACTCCTCGGAAGAAAAAAGGACAAGATTGTAACGTCCCAATTTTCACAACAAAATTTTCAATTTTTAATTCAGGGGGAAGAAGCCATTTATTCAAGTAACATCATAAAAACCATTTTTTCCAAAAGTTTACATTCCAAAATCAAAGTATGGTCATAATAACGGAATTACAAAATACGAAGTTGTCGATGTGTGTACAATCACGCCTTCGCCTTCCTACGATCATATGAAGTACCTGAAACATTTAATCCACAATTATAATTCGAAGCTTAATGAGTTCTCCAAGATACCACACATCATAATATACAGATAAGCCTATAAATATTAGCCTTCAGACCTTGAGTGGTCTGCCCCTCTCGCCTTCATCATAAAGATGGTCCACCCCTGGTCTTCAACATAAGGCTGATCCACCCAAGTATCTTGGCCTACTATACAAAGCAGGTTCGCCCTCAACTCACCATAATATATGAAGATATATATATATATATATATATATATATATATATATATATATATATATATATATATATATATATATATATATATATATATATATATATATATATATAACATACAAACAAACAATCCAACAACACAGACAACTGTCTAAACTAATCTACATGTCTAACAACTCATTAAAACATGTTCACATCATACAAAGAGTCCATATTGCACTCCACACTACAACTAAAAGATCACCAAATGAACGTATATTTGTATGTAATCAAAAATAAAATAGACAGTTGAACAGATAATCTTACTCTAAAACCGCAACCAAACATGAAACATGCAAGAAAGCCTAGATCAAGAGTTCTTAGGCTATCTTACATGAAAACAAACAACCCTTGCAACATTCACTACGACGATCAACAATCCTATTGATACTCTAACCAACCTATCACTACTCCCATATATCATATCATGCAAGGATGTACATCGT